CCAGGCTAAGGACTGCTTACAGGAGGCAACAAGTTAAAGCACAAAGTGGAGTGTCAAATATTGATCTGGCTGAGAAAATTAACTCCCAGTCAGACCCAACCTATGGTAAAGGACGAACCAAGTTCCGACCTCATTCTAGATATAGCGCCACTCCAGCAAAAACCAGCAATGAACATGCTGATGTAAGAAACACCGATACAAGAAACGCTCCAACCCAAACTCCTACATCAAATAATGACAACTCTCCAGGAAGAATTCAAAACACAGCCAATGTCCGAGCTCAAACAAACCCAATAACTCCGAGTGAACAGCTTCCACCAAGCGACATGGAAATGGAAGACGATATGGAAGGAAGTGCATCGGAGATCCAACCGCAAAGAGTTCGAGCTCCGGGAGCATTTGCTCCACCACAGAGAGTTGAACGAGGCTTCAGACCAATGGCTGGTCCAGGGGTATTAAACGTCGTCGGACCCGTTCCTGCCGGCTTTCGAGACAGAGCAAGAGGGTTTTCCAACCAAGAATTAGGATTTGAACTGCCGAGAAGTAATGTCCAACCACAATTCAGCGAAGATGAACAATTTCAGTTTGAATCTGAAGAACCTACAGAGGGCCCACTAAGACTTCTTCCGCCTGTTTTTCCAGTTTCTCAGCCACCAATTGACGTCAGTTCTACTCCTCCGCCCGCCTTGATAGAGAGCTACTCAGACGAGGACTTGTTACCACCCTTAGAAACACCAAAGCCACTTTCAGTAACTGTCATCAAGCCAAAAGCTACAGAAAATTTAATACTTGATCAGCATAAAGATATATCCAAACTCAATCTGGAATTTAACACTCTAAAAACTAGATACGACATGCTTCTCAACAGGTATGCGGAAACTCTTAAAATATATAACGAAAAGTATAGAGATTTGATAGGTACCCCTGTCGAAAAGAAAAAGTGATTTTATTATTTGTTAGTGTTGTAGATATGTACATATAGATGATTTTAGTTGTTTTTTAATGTTTCATAAGACACTTTAAAAATGAGTTTCTTAGTTCCATTATGTATTTCAAAAACTGATTCTAATATTGAGTTATTGGAGTTAACATTTTGTGATTCCATTTTTCTGCATCAAGTTTATCATTAAAGTTCCTTCAATAAGTGGATTGATTGTACGGAGACTTCGACAATCTTCTTGAATGCAAATTAAGGCAACTTATGACTTATGTACCTTGTAAAAAAGTTAATAGCATGTCTTGAGTTTATAAAATCATGTATCATTAAGGTCTGCTTCTCCTACTCTGCACAAATCACAATTTTTGGTCTGCATAAATGAGATGATTTTAAAAATTGTATTGAGTTGCAGAGTTGTTTCACCATTATCGTTAATATATTTAACATGCTTAGTCTTAAAATTAAAGACCATTATTTTATACACTTTTCTTTGTACTTGTCCTTTCTACTTTCATATTATACACTAAGAGTACTTTTTAAGAATTTACTCATTGCATTTTGGCTCATATATCTCTTCTTTACTACAGATACAATGGTGCAAAATCCTTAATTGAGTACATAATTGAAACAAAAAAAGCTAGTTTTACATAGCTCAGAGAGATTTTATAAACCGCTAAAATAAAACTGAGAGTAAAATTGGATAAAAATTCATTTGGTAGTATAATGAGCGGTTTTACCATAAACATCAGAAAAGGAAGAAAACATTTTTTACTATATGTTTTGTCATACCACAAAAAAGGTTAGGCCAAATAATTTTCCAAAATTATTTTAACTTTACTGAAGTTTTTTAAATAATGATATTTTCATTGTCTATTTTCTATGAAAAATTAAGGATGAAATAAAGGAAACGGAATATTAGTCCATAAACATATTTATATTTCTTATATAAATAAATACTAAATAAGACCTTTGAGAATAAAATCACTCTTGGGGCAAATATTGTTCAACATTTAGATGTGAATTACAAGTTAGGGTTTATAAATGCCAATATACAAAACGTCTTATAACTGGTTAGTGGTTACAGTAGAGTCTCGTAGATCCAGATCTAAACACTCGAAAATCTTGGTTTCAAAATCTGAATGAATTTGTAAAATTCATTGTATAACAAGCGTATGAAAAAAATCTAGATCAGTCAAGTGTTAGTCCGGATTTAGGAGAGTCTAATGATCTCGAAAAAGCAGTATTATTCTGAAAACATTCAGAAAAATTCTTCAAACACATATATGAATAGTTGCTTTGAAACCATTGAGTAGAGGTTTGTAGATTTTTTTTCATTATCTGACATTTTAAGTACGCAGGAGACGAAGTCATTTCGACGATTGCGCCGTGATCGCGAGTCATACCGACGATCACGCCGTGACCGAGAGTCATACAAACGATCGCGCCGTGACCGCGGAGTCCTACCGACGATCGCGCCGTGACCACGAGTCATACCTACGATCGCGCCATGACCGCGGAGTCATGCTGGCGATCGTGTCGTGATCGCGAGTCATACCGACGATCAAGCCGTGACCGCGGAGTCATACCAACGATCGCGCCGTGACCGCGGAGTCCTACCGTTGATCGCGCCGTGACAACGAGTCATACCGACGATCGCGCCATGACCGCGGAGTCATACCGACGATCACGCCGTGACCACGGAGTTATTCCGATAATCACGCCGTGACCGCGGAGTCATACCGACGATCGCGCCGTGACCGTGAGTCATACCGACGATCATACCGTGACCACGAGTCATACCGACGATCACCCCGTGACTGCGAGTCATTTCGACCACGAGTCACAAGTTTCTATAGGTACCTGTAAATTGTTACCCATTTTTTGGTTTTTATAGATCAGTGCCACAAACGGTAACAATAGATTTCGTATGTATTTTTTGGTAACTGCAATACTTAAGACTTTCTTTTTATGCATAGAAAAAAATCCCGTCCCGTCCCGTCCCGAAAATCGGGAAGGAAATAAATATCCCGTCCCGTCCCGTCCCGAACCAAAAATTCAATCCCGTCCATCCCTAATTTTAAGACTATTAAACACTGATATTTTGATTAAAATTATTAGATATTTTGCTTTATTGGAAGAAATACTAATACTAACATGATCCTGTTGTAAAACTGCACGATTTGCATAAACGTTAAGATTTAGACACTTATATCAGGAAAACATGTACGAAAAAGGTTAGACCTTATCCACAGATTTAGAATGATAAGTTGAATTTGAATGATTTAGAATTACAGTCGAATTTTTAAATTTGTAAATCAAAAGTCTTCGCAGAAACTTGAACCCATAAAATTTCAGGTAACAGGGTTTTTAGTAACAGGTGAAAATTAAGTTGAGGATTGAAAATGTTTCCACTTTTGAACTAAACCAATATTTGATCTACTGTATCTAAAATGGTCCCAGTACTACTGTCATCTTTTTTTTATTATAATGTCATTGGGAAACAACGTGGATCTCCTGACTATAGTGTAATAAAATAAGAGCACAAAGGACGCTAGACAACTGTAGATGGCCGCACATATTTCCAGAGCGGCAATAACTGTGCTCGTAATATACACGTAAAATCCTACCACCATAATTAACTTATCATAACGCACAAATAAACTTTTTAGTGGTATATAAAATGGCATTAAGGTTATATTTGTTTGTTTTAGGTTATGTTATTTGCTTACCGAACGTTAAGAGTTTTATAGAAATGCCAACAATGAAATCAGCTGATTTAGTGATTTAGCGAGCGGGAATAACATAGAGCAGAAATGAGCTGATTTGCGTACTGCTTACAAGTGTAGCAATGTGATCATTTCCATGCATTGGTAGGAAATAGTTAATTGTGTAGGATATCTATTGTGCACTTTGCTGCACATGAGAAAACTGTTTACGCAAGAGCCGCAGGTAAGTGTGGAAAGTTTCTCGAGTGCAGCAAAGCACTTTGCATTTGCGTTACACATTATATTTTTCATACAGTTACTAAATCATAAATCATATCAATAATTAGTCTTTGATTGGTTAGGCCAAGCGTTGAACAAAATAGGAAACGCTGCACCAGCTGATCATAGTTGTAGTATCTCTAAGTGTTTCCAACATATCTTCAAGTGTACACATTACATGCCTAGTAAAAGAAAGCACACATTTTTTGTGCGGAGTGCAGAAAAAAATGAGTGCGACAAAAGTAAGTAAATGCAGCAATTAGCAACTTTCTTTACTATAATCAGTGCAAGGAAGCCCACTTTGTCAGGTGACTGTAGGAGAAAAAAATATTTGTTTTGTCTATAGAACAATTTTTAATTTCAAGTGTAATGATTAGTAAGGGATACAAAAGAACAGTTAAATGTTTTCCTTGGAAATAGTCCCAAATTATAGGCTATAGAAATTTTGAAGATTCTATACAGCAAACAAATTTTAAGAAAACACAGCTAAATTTACCGTTTCAAAAAGAATCACATCATCAATCATATTTAACTATGTTTGCAAGGCTTTTTCAAAAGAAAACACAATGAACATTTCAAAGAAGAGAATTTTGATGTTAACTTTTAAGGAAGCCTTGGAAATGAGCAGGCGATTCTTTCACGTTATATTAACTTTGGTCTTGTTACAGGTGATTTAGATGTGTACCCTTTTCTTCTTTCTAAATGAATGACAGACAGATCAAAAGTTTCCAGCATAGTGGAGAAGAATCACATGTAGCCTACATAATTAAGAATCCATTTCAGTACAACCTCTACTTAAACCGTTATGACAGAAAGAATACGACTCTAAAATTCTTGTTGTTTCAAAACAAAAATACACAATAATAATTTTTGTTAGCAAATTTCCCATATAAGTAATAAGCTATTTTATATTGGTCACAACCTTCTAGTATAGCAAAATAATTAGAATCAAAAAAATCCGACCCTAAAGATTTGTAGTTAAAAAGACGTGTAATTGGTTATCCTGATTCAATGAGAAAATAATTGTTTTTGGAATAGTATTCACATTGTTGTAGTATAAAGATTAAAACAAAGGGCAATCTCAGTTTAAAAACTTAATTTAATGCTGTTTAACTGGTAATTGTATAATGATATAATTGATCAGTAACAGTAACTAATTATACGTTCTTATTTTAAAACAGTTTGACTAATTAAGAAGATAATATTTTCTACATACTTTAAAATCTACACAATAGCCTTGTTTTTCAACAAAAAAATTGAATGCTTCCAACTTGGTTAAGATATAAAAATATTACCTTAAAATATTCCAAAAATTGCAACCTATATGAGATAATGTAATAGGCCTACATTCAGTTAAGAAAGATTTTTTGAATCAATATAATGAGAAGACAATTAATTAATCGTACAATGTTACATTAAATTTAAGTAACAATAGTTTTAACTTGGACCAAAATCGACTAGCTTCGATTAGACAAACCCAAATAATCATGTTTCACTATAAAGTAACTGACACCTTAAAACCCAAAATAATAAAACACAAAATACTCTTTAAAATAAACAGTTAAAATCTTTAAAAACAGTTCCAAAAATAAAGTTTTTTATCTATGTGCTGGTGGATTGAAGTTAAGAATGTTCACCTTTTTTTAAGTCCGAGATTCACTGAACTTCAATGTTTTTGTTTGTAAATAATCTAACATAAAGGCTATCTATAGAAATATAAAATTTGTCTCTAAGAAATTTTAATTTTGGCGACAATGGTGCATTCACTGAACATTAACAATAATCGTTGGTTTGTTTATACATTTAAAATATTTAATATATAAGTGTTTGGTAGCTAGGATAAAGTTCTACATAAATTAAAATGAAGTAGAAATAAAAGTGTATCTGTACAAGTTAACTCAGAAAAAATGTCTTAATTAACTAAATAACATCGTTAATGCAACTTGTTTCTTCTTCTTTAACTCAAAACCACCAGTCCACGGTTATTTAAAATTAATTTGGTCATAACTTACTGACAATCTCAGACATTTGTTATGACACCCAAACTAAAAAAAAAACAAGCAACAAAAATCCTAATTTAACTAAGAGTTGATTTAGCACTAACGCAAATAGTTAAAAATTACCTACAAACATAACTTTCAGTAACCAAATCTGGCAATACAGGAACTTTAGAAAAGAAGGATTTGCGATTATGTTTAACATATGAAATTCTTTTTGACACATTTCTTACAACAGAAACATCGAGAGGATTAACAATCAGACCCGGGTACGGACAGACTAGCTCACTTAGCAAAATGCATAGCATTGTAGCAAGCTTGATAACGATACTTGGATAGAACCTTTTGAGGTTTACGACCCTAGATATAACCTGTGATAGTCGTTTGCTCCAAAAGCGGCATTACACTTCGGACATTTCCTCTGTCTAGTTTCATACCTCGTACGTAAACAATCGTAACAAAACACGTGGAAACACTTGCTCAGCACTGCGTCCTTTCGCTTCACTTTGCACGATGGACACGTTAGAGTCTCTTTGTATTCTCTTATTTCTTCCATCATCACTTCGTCCAAAGTCCCTGCCAGTTCTATCTTCTTCATCCGCTCCGTTTTCCTTCGTAACTGTACAATCTCCTCCTGAAGTCTCTTCGTCTTGTAAGCTTCCGCTTCCAAAGCACTCGTTTTCTCTGCCACTACCTGCTGTGCTTCTTTCATCTGGGCATGGTATTTTTCTGTAAAATATGACATATTGATGTAACCTTCGAAATGTTGAGTCAATCTGTCTTATCTCTTCTCTATCTTATCTAATTCTAAGCACTCTGCTATGCTACAACTTTAAATATAGAAAACTTAATTTTTTATAAACAACACACAAAAATAAATTAAACTCTTATTAAATTTATGATACCAGTTGCAGTTCAGAATGTAAATTAGCTTGAGTGTAAATGGTATCAGGTAATAATAATGACATCAAAAACCAAAACTTGCAAAATCTCCCATTCCGAAACTTTTGAATAACAAAACTAAAAATTTTTAAAAGTTCTTTTTGTTTTGAGATTTGAGATTCGGCTTTGGCACATAGCTTATGTGAACTACTTAATCAATCTACTTTCTGAAGATGTCCTACAATAAAGAAACGAAAAACCTTGTTAATCAGCCACACAGATTTTTCTTAACGACACTGGAAACTTGTTGATAGACCTATCACAAATAGAAAAGCTTCACAGAATTTCCCATCTCAACAACTGATGTACTACTCACCCAGATGCAGTTTGAGATCAGCCGCAGACTGCGCAGACTCTATAGCCTTGCGTTTATGCATCTCCATGGCCTGCTGTCTCAATGCCAGCTCCTTCTCCACGGTCGCCAGGGAGTTCTGCAATATCCTCTCCTTCTCCTCTAGCTTGCGTACAACTATGTTGGTCGCCTCCACTTGCATCGTCAATGTCGAAACCTGGCAATTCCAACCAAATTAATATTTATAGTGAACAAATTCAAGCCAGTGTTAGTAATCGATTAGTTTTTAAGATGTTGAACAGTTAAGTTAAGTTAAACAAGTGATAAGGTTGTAGACATTTAAGCGGTCTATTTTGAAAATAGAATAACTGTTACCTTAAGATTTGAGAACAAACAAATTAATTCAGTTAAAGCTGTTGAAATGAATGTATTGTATTGCAATAGACATTCTAATTTAGAATACTGAGGATAATTTTTTTTACAAATTTTTTTCCTTCAGGCTACATACTTCAACTATATATTTCAATTATTTCAGTGTCTTTTGTTGGGTAGAATCATTTTAATTTATTTAATATCCAACAATAAGCATAATAATTTTATCAACACTAATAGGGATGGACGGGATTGAATTTTTAGTTCGGGACGGGACGGGACGGGACGGGATTTTTATTTCCTTCCCGATTTTCGGGACGGGACAGGACGGGATTTTTTCTGTGCATAAAAAGAAAGTCTTGAGTATTGCAGTTACCAAAAAAGACATAAAAAATCAATTTTTACCGTTTGTGGTACTGATCTATAAAAACCAAAAAAATGGGTAACAATATACAGGTACCTATAGAAACTTGTGACTCACGGTGCGATCTTCAAAATGAACCGCGGTTACGGGGTGATCGTCGGTATGACTCGCGGTCATGGCATGATCGACGGTATGACTCGTCACGGTCAGGGCGCGATCGTCGGCATGACTCCGCGGTCACGGCGAGATTGTCGGTAGGACTCCACGGTCACGTCATGATCGTCGGTATGACTCCGCGGTCACGGGTTGATCGCCGGTATGCCTCACGGTCACGGAATGATCGTCGGCATGACTCCGCGGTCACGGCGCGATCGTCGGCATGACTCCGCGGTCACGGCGCGATCGTCGGCATGACTCCGCGGTCACGGCGCGATCGTCGGTAGGACTCCGCGGTTACGGGTGATCGCCGGTATGACTCGCGGTCACGTAGCGATCGTCGGTAGGACTCCGTGGTCACGGCGCGATGACTCCGCGGTCACGGCGCGATCGTCGGTAGGACTCCGTGGTCACGGCGCGATCGTCAGTAGGACTCCGCGGTCACGGCGCGATCGTTGGTAGGACTCCGCGGTCACGGCACGATCGTTGGTATGACTCGCGGTCACGGCGCGATCGTCGGTAGGACTCCGTGGTCACGGCGCGATCGTCAGTAGGACTCCGCGGTCACGGCGCGATCGTCGGCATGACTCCGCGGTCACGGCGAGATTGTCGGTAGGACTCCACGGTCACGTCATGATCGTCGGTATGACTCCGCGGTCACGGGTTGATCGCCGGTATGCCTCACGGTCACGGAATGATCGTCGGCATGACTCCGCGGTCACGGCGCGATCGTCGGCATGACTCCGCGGTCACGGCGCGATCGTCGGCATGACTCCGCGGTCACGGCGCGATCGTCGGTAGGACTCCGCGGTTACGGGTGATCGCCGGTATGACTCGCGGTCACGTAGCGATCGTCGGTAGGACTCCGTGGTCACGGCGCGATGACTCCGCGGTCACGGCGCGATCGTCGGTAGGACTCCGTGGTCACGGCGCGATCGTCAGTAGGACTCCGCGGTCACGGCGCGATCGTTGGTAGGACTCCGCGGTCACGGCACGATCGTTGGTATGACTCGCGGTCACGGCGCGATCGTCGGTAGGACTCCGTGGTCACGGCGCGATGACTCCGCGGTCACGGCGCGATCGTCGGTAGGACTCCGTGGTCACGGCGCGATCGTCAGTAGGACTCCGCGGTCACGGCGCGATCGTTGGTAGGACTCCGCGGTCACGGCACGATCGTTGGTATGACTCGCGGTCACGGCGCGATCGTCGGTAGGACTCCGCGGTTACGGCGCGATCGTTGGTAGGACTCCGCGGTCACGGCGCGATCGTCGGTATGACTCGTGGTCACGGCGCGATCGTCGGTATGACTCGTGGTCACGGCGCGATCGTCGGTAGGACTCCGCGGTCACGGCGCGATCGTCGAAATGACTTTGTCTCCTGCGTTCGCGGACCTATCGCTCGCAATAGCGGCGTCATCAGCACTCGCGAAGCGGCAAAGTCGCCGAAGATCGGACCAAATCCCGTCCCGAAAAATTCCCGAATCAAATGTGATCCCGTCCCGATAATCGGGAATATTTTTTTCTCGAAAAATTCCCGAAATTTTGGGACCCGTCCATCCCTAAACACTAACCATATAAGGTTATTCAAGAAGACTATCAATTGGGTATTAGGTATTATGTAGTACAATCAAAACATTAACAATACCAACTTGAGTATGTAGACTTAAACATAAGGATATTCCTACCTGCTCCTTGAGGACGTCCTTCTCCTCTCTCGCCAGTTTGTGCAGCTGGTTACTTTTGATCCTCTCAGTCATGAGTTTGAAGTTGGCATCGTCTTTCTCCCTCAACTGTTGTATTAGTCGACTGTTCTGCTCCTGCATGTCCTCGAATGCTTGTCCCGTCACTTCCATCTCATTCAGCAGCGCCTGTTCCTCCTGCCAGCACACTCCCTGTAGAGATTAACATTGGTAACATTCCCATCCTACCGCTAACTACTTCCCTCCCCTTAGAGATATTCTTGGCAACATTCCCGTCTTGCGACTAACTACTTCCATCCCCTTAGATATATTCTAGGCAACATTCCCGTCCTGTGACTAAATACTTTCCTCCCCTTGTATATATTCTTGGAAACATTCCTGTCCTGCAAATAACTACTTTCCTCCCCTTAGATATATTCTAGGCAACATTCCCGTCCTGCGGCTAACTACTTCTCTCCCCTTAGATATATTGTTGGCAAGTTTCTAATCCTATTGTTCGCTACTTCTCTTGGTACGAGATATTGCTGGCAATAGTGGCAATGTTTCCAACCTACCGCTAATCAACCTCTCCTTTAGAGATTATAATAGGTCATGTTCTCGTCCAACCGCCGACCAATCCCTCCCCTAGAGATTATCATTGGTCATATTTCCTTCCTTCTGCTAACTACCACCCTCCCTGTAACATTCCCTCCCACAACTCATTGTAATGATCAATTCCCAGGGATACCCAAGCAGGAAGGGGAAAGATACTATATGAAATATAATGTTACAAAAAAAGCAATTGAATTTCTTTCATCATCAAGGAATTACTAACATTCACCATTGAAACCTAATTAAGAACATTCTTTAGTATCTTTCCCATCCTCCCGGTAAACAGACAGTTGCTTCTCAGATGACATACAGGTCAAAAAGTATTATTAAAAAAAGTATGAGGTACGATCAAGTAGTTTTAGAATATATTGAAGACGTGTGTTTAGGACACCTAAAACATGTTTGAGAAAAAATAAGCAGCCTAGATACCTAATACACCAAACACAATTTATAACAAAAAAGACGAATAGCTCTTTTACAAAGTATGCAATCCATAAGGACACTCACATTTTTTATGTAACAACAAATCGACATGACGTGATTAACACCATTGGATAATTTACTTTAGGTCTAAAAAGTATTTGCACCAAATATATACATTTTTCACTGGATCAAATAGACAATAATGCCACATCTTTCACAAAATCTTATGTTTCAACAACATTGTACATAATTTTAATTTTTTTACAAACAATAAATCATTAACTTAGATTTAAGTACTCATTCTCACCTGTTTGTGAGTAGCAACTTGCTTTTGAAGCTGGTACGCTTGCTCCTCTAAATGCTTTATTTTTCTCAAGGCGTCCTCATCAGCGAGTTTCTTCCTTTCTTCTCTCTTACTTTCCTAATAATTAATAAATTAAATTATTCTCAAGTCATAATTAGACGTAGGATAACCAGAAGAAAAAAAACTAACATAATAAATAATCAGTTTTTTTATGATTAGATCTTAAAACATTACCGAATTAGCTACAAAAAAATAAACTTAACTAGCAAAGGCTTTTTTTGCATCAGCCCAGGATTGTTTAGCACATTACTTCAGGCTAGACCTTGGGGGTCAGCAAGTACTATCAATTAGATAAAATCCATTGGTGATTTGGCAGGATTTGAACCCAGGACCTCAGGGAACGCACTGTAACCACTACATCAGCTCGCTCCCGCCTTTATGGACATTGAACATAGCCAGACAGAGTGAATAAATGAATAACAAGATTAAATGCAGATATGTTGATAGTCATTTGACCACTTTGGTGATGGGAGGGCAGAGCACCAGGATCAAGTTTAACAGGAAGAGGCAGGGGGTGGGCAATGGGCCTCCCTCCTCTCCCAAGACCCAAAAGGGTCGTGTGAACAAACTTTTGAAAAGACAAGTGCATATTATTTATGGTCTTGCAGAAGGCGTTTACAAAGATATGCTATAGAAAATTTACAATTTTGATATGTGAAGTTAAAGGTTTCACGGTGACTAATGAAGAAGTAAAAAGATTATTCAGCATACAATGTGGTTAGTTTTGCCATGACAGCAGACAATGTTTACAATTTTGCTGTGACCACTAACGATGATTTAACAATTGGATTTTTCGTGCGCTAACAGAGTTTCATGAGTGTTTAGGCAAGCAAATACAGTACATCACTGGGTGTCTACCCCGTATACAATTTAATTAAATTCTGGTTTTCCCGGCAACATTTTAAAACTCACACATAATTTCAATTTTTTTCCCAGTACAAAGAATGTAATCACAATTCCCATGATCTCCGGTCTGTGGCCATCCTGAATTTTACACGATTGTGAGTTTAAAATGACTAAAACTGCTAAGTTTACCAGACTAATTCCATGCGTAAAAGTCCATCTAAACAGAGTAGTGGCAAAAAATATTATTGATGGGATATTAGCCTTTGCAGGGTTGGTACTGATTTTGGAAAATGAAATTCCCTGACTTTTCCAGGTTTTCCAGACTGATATTATACTTTTTCCAGGTATACCGTAAGGCAATATCGAATAGTCAGAATTAAGAATTATTAGAAAAAATGTAGACCTAAATAGTTTACTCATAAAACCAATAAGAAAAGAATTAAACATCTGGAATCTGGAAAAGTAAGAGTACCAACTAACTTAACCTCACACTTTATGTTCTACTTGGCCTTGACTTGAGACTGGCAGATAGACGATACGGTGCTTCTGATACTGATATATATCGATATTTTGCTTGCGATATCATCGGTTTATATCGGAAGAAACATGTGATATTGGAAAAATAACTACCATGCTTGTACCGGAGACAAAAAGTAGTATCAAACTAAACTATTAAATGTTTCAACTAACAGGATAAATTTTTTTTTATAAACTCCTACAAGTGCAGTTTTTTTTAGTTTATTAAAGGTTGAATCAGTATTGAACCATCGGTGGTCGGTGTTTATGTATGTATGTAAATAAATGGAGCAATTGAGTCGGAGATTCAAATTTAATACGATTATGATATTAAAATATATATCATAGATTATGTTAGATTATAGATTGTAGAATATGGATGACTGATTAACTCGTTTCCCCACGCAGGCTTTGCCTATGTGGGGAGGATCCATTTTTGTTAGAATTACTGTTGTATATTTTGATTCATGGAATAAATGATGTTTGATTTGATTTGATTTGATAAATTCAATGAGGAATTGTATTTCAGTATCGTATTGAAATTGAAACGATGAATGTAGGCCTATCCTTCCGCGCATCACGGTACTAACTAGCTGAGCTCGTTGCGTTAAATTAAAGCCGGTAATCAGAGGGTGATGATAGAATGTCTGTCTATGTTCAATGGTTTTTATATCGATGGTAGGTTCACCATGTTTTTGTCAAACTTTGATGTTTTTGACCCAAGTATTGAGATATAGATGCAAAATGTAGCGTATCTGTAAAAAAATGTAGTCTTTCAAGAGAAATTCCAGATTTTTTCCAAAATTCCCTGACTTTTCCAGACCAACAAAATTCCCTGACTTTTCCAGGTTTTCCCTGACCGTACCAACCCCGCAACCCTGCTTTGCCTTTGCTCGAATAACCAAGTCCCCTACTCTAACCTAACTATTAGAACGTCCTTGACCACTCACCTGAAGTTTCTTGAGCTGCTGACGAGTTTCCTCGAGTTCCGCTCTCATCTTCTTCTCCGACGCCATGAGCTGCACTTTGTCCCTCTGCTCCTTGCTGGCTCCTTTGTACATGTCCAACAACAGTTTCATCTCCTTCTGGTCATTCAGAGCTTTCCTAGAAAACACAAACGCTTGATTATCACTTGCACTAACTTCAATTATATCCTGAAGTACAATTTAAATCCCGCTCTAAAACTGAAAAAGGAAAAGAAACCTTCAGTACTGGTAGTGTAGTTTGGCAGCAAAGCAGGACACTGAACATACCTATTGATACTTCAAAAAGTTGACACCCTTAGACAGATGCAGGAGTTAGTAATACCACTTGTAAATGGTGGAAGTAAATATCAGATTTAATTCTGGAATACATTGATATGTTCAGTTTGAATTTATAATTGATAGGAATTAAATTTCAGGTACATTTTTTTATTCCACATACCTCAGATCCTTTTTTTATCATGCAATTACCCAACTGCAAAATTTTTAAGCAGTACATTGGTAATTTTCAGATTTGCGCAGTGTTTGTCATCATAGGTATTGGAACTTGTTTCCTCTCATTTAGTTCATTCAGAGCTTTCCGACCCAGCAAAACCCCAATCGTTGCTGACATCAAAATTAGTAATAGCCTACATACTGAAGATACATTGCACTGAGTTTAAAAACCCAAAATACCTTTTTTAAATTCCACATACCTCAGAACCTTTTTTTATCATACAACTACTCCACTGCAAAAGTTAAAAGCAGTACATTGGTAATTTTCAGATTTGCGCAGTGTTTGTCATCATAGGTATTGGAACTTGTTTCCTCTCCTTAAGTTCATTCAGAGCTTTCCGACCCAGCAAAAACCCGCTATTGTTACAGACATCAAAATTAGTAATAGCCTACATACTGAAGATACATTTCATTGAGCTTAAAAATCTAAGATACCTACAGCAGCTAGTTTTTTTTTAATTCCACATACCTCAGAACCTTTTTTTATCATGCAATTACCCAACTGCAAAAGTTAAAAGCAGTACATTGGTAATTTTCAGATTTGCGCAGTGTTTGTCATCATAGGTATTGGAACTTGTTTCCTCTCATTTAGTTAATTTGGTTTCTTGTTCATTCAGGATGTCCAACCTGACAAAAACCCGTAATCGTTGCTGACATAAAAATTTCAGCTTTTGCTGAGTTTAAAAACCCAGGATACAACCTTTGGACTCATTCCTGTTTAGGTAAGCCTACTATCCTTATAAAACTAAAGTTGTCTTTCAGTTTGAGTTGGTTAAAAAGTTGGCATATTCAACAAAAATCTGTAATTTTACTATACTCAGCGCTTTTTTAAGGTTATTTAGTCCATTTTAAAGTTAAATAAACAATGTTCATTTCCATTTTAAATGTTTAAAGGCACTTAACATTAAAAAAATTATATGTTTGAAAGTAAAGTATACAAAATTCTCACTTCAACTGAGCCTTAAGGTCCCGCACCATCTCAGAATCGGGCATTTTTCCACGATGTTGTTCCCTGTGTTGTTCCTTCTTCACCTCACGCTTGGTCCCCGGAGTAGCTGCACCCCCCGGCGCACCTGGTGTAGCCCCGGCAGCCCCGTCCTTCTCCTTCTTGATGGTAGGAGACGTCAGTTGGCTGTCCTTGTCTACCTCCGAGGTAGAAGTACCATCGACCTAAAAAACAGGATTTTGATAAGCAACTACTATTCCCAGAATATATCTGAACAAGGATTTAAACACAAGAATCGTTTGAATGTTTTTCTACTCCTACAAGACCTCATTATTTTTCTTATATTGTATTTACAATTTAGTATTTTAAAAAACATTCCATACAGGGGTTTTTTTGTGCTAAGCAAGGGTCAGGGTACCTAAACAAAAAATAAAAATATTGTTTTATAGTACGTCACAACCACTGAAGTGTGTATGGAATGGCCCAAGAGAAATATGAATCAACATAGATTTGGAACATGACTTTTTAAGTTACAATCTTAAAATAGCCTACAGAAGTCCCTTCAATACCTAATCTTACTCTGTTAAAAACCAAGATACCTCAGAATCTTTTTTTATCACAGTATTACCAGCTCTGCTCAACTGTCTTAAGGTGAACAATGGTAATTTTCAGCTTCACAATAATAGGCATCATAGGTATTGGCTTAGTATTAATCCGGTTGCTTATAGAGTTTACTTGAAAACGGCTAAATCCCATTTATGTTAGATTAGAAAGGCATGTTGACTGAGAATTAATGAGACAAAGGACAGGATAAGCAGATAGTTGAGAGTCACATTCCTCTCAAATCTCAATGTTAAGAATGGGGCCAGTGGTCTCAAAATATTCAGCGTTTCCTTTCTGTTACTACTTTATTAAGTTAAGTGTGATGCCTTCAATTTTTAAGGTAAGTCTGCTTATCCTGTCCTTTGTCAGCACTGAACAATCAATCTCACCATTTATAATCATTTTAAACTTTAGTTGGTTAAACCAAAACATTTTTAGAAGGTGTGTCTTTTTATTAATGCATTGAGAGACCAAATTGTGTGTCTTTTTATTAATGCATTGAGAGACCAAATTAGTGAATTTGAGACAGCAAAAAGTTTCAGGATTTGGCACCAATCGTTCATAGTGACAATAATATACTTGATTAGTAGCTAGAGAAGGTAATTTAAAGTCTGTAATTTAATTATTAGGTAGCCTAAAATTAAGATTTTTATAAATTTTTATTCTAAAGGGAATTGAGATGAATTAGACTACTGAAGTGTCTGAAATGTTGAGGGGTAAATGATGATAGAAAAGAGAGTCAAATTTTTGAATAACCACTGAATATTAATTGTGGAAACTTTATAACTAACAAGATTGACTGGCAAGGGTTCGAAACACCAGGTCTCTTTGGGACGGGTGGCATCGTCCTGTAATCCAGCTACTAGGAGGTTGCGAATTGTGGATATTTATAGGAATGCACTGTGGATGCGATACTCCCCGCTGTGGATTAACGTCCGCACGGGTGAGTAGTACGACTATCTGCAGTACTATCCTGATAATTAGACCAATTCGTATATATCAAAGGCAAAAATGTGGTTCGATTTCCACTATAAACTGTAGGTCCCTTAGTTGCCATTAGCTGTTTGGGCTATTAATTAACAGCTGTGTCTAAGGAATATGTCGGCCTTAGTCACTAACAAGACTACAAGATCGTGCCACTCATCCTACACTCATCTCCATTCATACTTGGCTGAAAATACCTACTTTGTATGGTCGCCATTTCATTGCAAAGTATCAAAAGTAACTGTTGCAAGATTGATTCAAACAATTTGGAGCACTAATGTCAGGAAAATCTACGATATTAACTATCTTCAGGCTAACTGTGTGTCAATTATTGACACAAGTTTGCTTGCCAGATAAAATGTTCTTCTGTTTGCTAGATGGAAATAAGGACTTAAAGCTGAAGTTTCTAGCCTATCAGAAGGGGGATCAAGGCATCATATAGCAAATTTAGTGTTCAACAGGATTTGAACTCAAGACTTTAAGAAACAAGTCCACTTAAAGAGTCCTTGGAGGCTAGCGGCCATCTTGGATGATTTCAAACCGCTTCTGAAGAGTTATTTACCATCCCAAAATATTTTTTCAAATACAAAGTCATTGTAATTTAAATATCTAGGGCACTGTGAGATCAGACATTTTCTTTGTAATTTTTTAATTATTTTTCAAAGGAGTCCAAGTAAGCTAATGACCATCTTGAATTTACCCGTCATTGTAATTTATATAATATCTAGGGTAATGTGAGATTAGAAATTTTCCTTGTAGTTTTATCTTATTGTTTTTCAAATGAGTCCATGGAGGCTGACGGCCATCTTGGATTTGCCCACCATAAGGGCAATGCTAATTAAAAAAAAACGCTCAAAAGTTATTTACCATCTCAAAATATTTCTTTCAAATGAAACCAAAGGGATTGTAATTAAAATCCAGGGCACTGTGAGAGCAGAAATTTTCTTTGTAGTTTAGTAATTTTTGTATGAGTTAAAACGTCTCCAAAGGCCCAAACACTTTGTGAGGCTCCAAGGACTCTTGACCAGCCAAGCCTCTTACAAAAGTATCATCCGTTGTAGTCTGGGCGTCGACCCATTGTAATTAACGATGACCTGGAAATTTGGGTGGACAAAGGTTTTTTGACTGATTCTGACTCAGTTTTTTGCGCTGATTACGAATATGCCGGGTGCCACCTTGGCACCCTTGGGCAAACGCCGCCATATTGGAAAAATGGCGGCCAAAACTGGTTTTTCGTTAAATACTCGAAAACGGTTAGTTTTAGAGATATTTATGTGGAGACATAAAATGTAGAGCGTAAAAAACTACACAGAAATGATATCAACACTTTTTTTGGTAAACCTCACGGTTTTATTACAATTTTGTGAAATTGAAGTTATTATTAACATAAAGTTGTAATTTAGTGCCAATACCTATGACATATTACATTCATTCTTCAAACAACATAATTATATTATGCATTACACATTTGTACAAGAAACCTTTGATTAAAATAATTGTTAGTTTCATCTAACATCCCTCAGTTACCCACCCCGTGGCCATTATGCTATTTCTGTATGCGAGTCTTTGGCGGGCTCGGTGGCGCGCTCAGCCTTCAATAAAGTTTCAAATACAGTTGTGATAGTTGCTTGTAAGTGGTGTACAAGTGATATGTAGTTGGATACTTTGGTTGGAAATTACTAAGGTAAATTATCTTAAAATTCGATTTTTATGTTATTGCATTATGTCATTGATTTAACCTGCTTATAAATACCTGCCAACTACATATGCTATTCTAGCTATAGGACTAGATAAATACGATGATACTACTACATAATTTTTACTCTGTTGGGTATTTAATTGACAAGCTGTAATACTAGTTAGTACAAGGTTCTATTATAATATATTATGTATCAATATCGGCCTATACATTAAATTGGCAAATAAAAATTTATCGAATATTAGAACGAATGATTTTCTATTTAAAAGTTTACATAAAAAAAAATATATATATATATACATGGTGTGGCAAAACTTTACCTTGCTCTTCCCCCCAAATACCACCACCCTGACGAAAAAAACCCAGATCCGGCACAGTATATGTTTGTGGAACGTCTTTATAAAGTTAATGAAGATTCCAATTGATGTGTTTTGTTCTAGATTGGAACAATGAATTGAATACGATAATGACGGAAAATAGAAGTGTATTAGGGGATTAAAACTTACCTCAAAGGGAAAGGAATATTCTTGCTTTTTAACTGCGGAAAAAATGGACAGTTAATAAGTGGAGGCCCTGTAAGAGTCGGATCAGTTAAATCAGCAAGTATTGAACTACAAGATGAGTTGTTCATATACCTGGATGAAAATTTACTCAATTATTTTCATAAATCTTGTGTGTCCTCTTCCTCATAGAAATCAAAGACCCACATTCAGCGTGCATTTAAAACATTAGCCCGTCCGTAGTTCCTCCCCACCCAAGCGTTTGAAAAGATCAGATATTCATAGCTTTGAGTTTAGACTAAATTGCCTGTACTGTGGTGAAAAATGTTAGAAAATTGATCTAAAACATCCCGACCGATGGCAACCATATTCCCAAATCCGAACTGTTGATAGACCGAACAAGCCCACTCTACAACAATTAATTTTAGAAAAATTTGAGTTAAGGCAAGATGAGTTTTCTAATAAATTCAAGTTAGAATCAATGGCGTAATTGGAGATCTACATGCAGCCGATGCACGTTATCATAGGGATAGTCATAATGTTCTTTTGCACCAAAAACAAAGACCTATAAATTACACAAACACAAATCTTGGTAGTGAAGATACTATTTTGAAATCAATTATTAGTATAATGAATGAAAGAAGACCCATCACGCGTTTCGAACTCAATAGAGCTGTTTGAGTTTTATAAATCCCAGGGTGGGTCAAACATAATACGTAAAACTCTGGTAAAAAAAATAACAGACATAGTAGGACCTAGCTTGATTGTGTTATCTTCTTCTGGAAATACTAAAATAGTTGCGTTTAGAAATCAAATGCCATTTGCGATGAAACTGGCATTATCTGATGAAGATGAAGAATGTAGTTTTGGAAAAGTAAAAAAGAAAATTGAATCAGAAACTACATCACGCACAGTTAACAGAGACAACTATGAAACCAAATTGAATCATGAAAGCCTTGAATCTAATATCAGCAAGATATTGTTGCTATTTTTAAAAGAGCTTGTACTGGTCTACCTTCCTTGATATAGGTAACATTGTTACTTCGATAATGACTAAACAAAACACCACAATTAAAATAGCATTATCATTACTGCTAAATAAGAAGAAACCGATCAATGAACTACCTACACAAATTTGGTGTAACCTGTATATACAGTAATGCTCGGCGGTTTAAAGCATCAGCAGCTGTTGCAGCTACTAAAAATCCAATGTTAAGCGGTATAAGAGACAGCAAAGATGGATTTATACAAGCTGTAAGTGACAAATTCGATACATTCTTATCTACATAGAATTGCTTAATGCTTACGTCAAACCCACAGCATGCCTTTACTTATGACTCAAGCTAAAACCTCGAGCGACTTCTCAGTTATATGCAATAACTCCATTATTTACATTACTTAAATATAAATCTGTAACTTTACCAGTATTTTTATTTTTTCATCACACCAACAAGTGCTATTGTTGCTTAAAATAAACCGGGAGATTCTCACTGCACCTACAGATTGGGGAATACGAGAATGTTCAGTGTAAAGGGGCGAGTGTGATGTGTGGGGAGGGGGGGGGGGTTGAAGGCACTAATAACAATTATTTTTTACAAAGGTTACTTGTACAAATGTGGAATGCATAATATAATTATGTTTTTTGAACAATGAATGTAATATGTCCATAGGTATTGGCACTAAATTACAACTTTATGTTAATAATAACTTCAATTTCACAAAATTGTGCTAAAACCGTGAGGTTTACAAAAAAAAGTGTTGATATCATTTCTGTGTAGTTTTTTACGCTCTACATTTTATGTCTCCACATAAATATCTCTAAAACTAACCGTTTTCGAGTATTAATCGAAAAACCAGTTTTGGCCGCCATTTTTCCAATATGGCGGCGTTTGCCCAAGGGTGCCAAGGTGGCACCCGGCATATTCGTAATCAGCGCAAAAAACTGAGTCAGAATCAGTCAAAAAACCTTTGTCCACCCAAATTTCCAGGTCCCCCTAGCTGACGCCCAGACTATTGCTCATCCCCACTCGACAGTGGCCGTTGGTTACTAACCTCCAGTTCTTCGTCCTGAGGTTCCTTCTTGATGCTTGTTCCGGGTTCCTCCTTCACCTTGTCCAGTGGCATGGTCCCGGATTGGTTGGACTCCTCCTCCTTGCATTCCAGGTTAGAACACTCCTTCACTTCCTGCACTCCTTGCTGACTCAGCCTTCCCTGCAGCTCTTCAATCTCCTTCTTCATCTGTAAGACACACATCAGTTAGGTATCTAGTATATTGTACTTAAAAACACCTCAAGTATTTACAGAGTAATAAGTGGAATTAACGGGTGAGATTAATCAAACCATTTAAAAAAGTTAGAATACTTTGGTATTATACCGATCACACCTAAATTTGTCACCCTTAGGTTAGGTTTGGTTAGCATCTTCCGGTTATCTTATCTTATCCTAACCTAACCTAGGTGTGGTAACCTAACCCAATTTAGGTGAGGTCAGTATAATACCACAGTTCCAAAGTTAACATGATACAATGTGAATAAAATACTCCCGCCACATTAAACCGTATCATGTGTGACCTACATAGTAGTAGCTTATTCCCTATACGTGGAATATTTTGCTTAAAGAGCAAAATTATAACACCTCAGAACCATTTTTTATCACAAGATTACTTCACTGCTTGATTGTATTAAGCAATATACGAGTAATTTTCAGATTTGCGCAGTGTTTGTCATCACAGGTGTTAAGTTTGGATTAAAAACCATGAAAGATAAAAGTAGTTGAGAGTGATTATTTCAATTTTGCAGAAGAGTAGAAGAATTGTATGACAGAAATTTTCTTTTACCTTTTGCTGTAAAATAATTCCATGTTTTCACAGTAGGTCTACAAAAAACTAAATAAGATTTTATTTTACAATTCACCAAAGAATATGTTTTGATCACAGAGTATTTTAAGACTTAGGATTAGAAAATCGTTGTAGAGAAATATTCTACAAATTTTAACTAATTCCAGTCAAACTCTCAGACTTTGCGCAGTGTTGGTCATCATTGGTAAATTTTACTTAGAAAGGATAGGATAAGCAGGCTTACCTTAAGAAATATAGGCATCCCACTTCATTCACTACAGAACACAGGAGAAAACACAAAACCAAATAAACACTGGATATTTCGAGGCCACTGGCCCCTTTCTCAACATGGAGTGTGCTATGTCACATTGTATCATGTTAATATAATGTTAATGTTAATGTTAATTGTATCATGTCAATGTGACTCTCCATGTTGAGAAAGGGGCCAGTGGCCTCGAAATATCCAGTGTTTATTTTGTTTTGTGTTTTCTCCTGTGTTCTGTAGTGAATGAATTCGGATGCCTACATTTCTTAACCCTTTGAGGTCGAATTTTTTCCACATTTTCCGGCGAATTTAGCTTGCCATTCAAGCAGGAAAATGGCGCCCAGTGACCTATACTCGCCATTCGACCAAAAAAATTAACTTTTTTGATTTTTGAATTTTTTTTTTGTCCTTGTAGGTCGCCATTTTTGAGCAGTCGGCAAAATGGCGGGCGGCGACCTATACTCACCATTCGACCGCAAAGGGTTTTAAGGTAAGCCTGCTTATCCTATCCTTTCTCACACCTATTCTCAGGCAACAAGCCCTTTCTCTCCAAACCTAACTATAATATTAATGAGTCTTGGATGTTTGAAAATTATATTTTTAAATGTTTAGTCCATCAAACTTGTTTAAAAACAGTATGAAAACATTTTATTCCGATCTATTTATGTAATTACTAATTAGTATAGCCTTCTACTCATGTATAAAAAATAGTTAAACTGATATATTTTTTTATTTTCAGCAGAATTTGGTTTTTTTATGTCACATTCCTTTTGTTTAAAGTGTTCAAATACCTTAGAAAAATATAAATAAACCATAAATACTATCAAGTACAAAAGAACTACAGTAGAGTCAAATCCCTACTAATTTTACAGAAAAAAATTATTAGAATCTTAACCAAATCAAGAAGGAGAAAATCATGTAAAAACCTGTTTAAAAATCTTAGAATTCACACCATTATTGGATTATACATAAATGAAATTCTAAATTGGATACATAACACTAAGGAAAATTTGTCAGATGTAGTCAAATTTACACATAATTATAATACAAGGAATAAATATAATTTCAGATTACCACATCACAAATTGACGACTTTTAGGAACAGCCCTCAATATATGGGACTTAGATTGTACAATGAATTACCCCTGTATCTTAAAAATTTAAATGCTACTCAATTCAAAGATAAAATAAAAGATAAAATAATTGAGAAAGCCTACTATTCACTTGACAAATTTTTGGAGAACCCTATAATGTAGATAAAAATTCTCTGATATCCTACATGAGTTTATTTTAATTATTTTAACTATTAATTTTACTATAAAATACATCACTATGACGAAACACCTGTTCTTATGTATGAAATGTACTTTATAAAGAACGTATTGTGTAAATAAAATATGTCTTATGTCTATGTCTTAGTCCCGCAAACTCGGCACTCGATAACCCGGCAGTCTGGATAACTCGGCTATCACCTGTCTCAGAAATTTAGTGATATTTTGAGTCCGAGTTAAACATGGACTCAAGCCAGCTCAAGTAAAATCATTCACAACTCATACCAAGGATTTTTTGTACTATATCTGATGACTTAATACTGACTTGTAATATAAAAAAAGGAGGTTAAAACGCTTAAAAATTTTACTGTCCTTATTTTTAACCCTAGTTCCTGATAACCTGGCATTTCACAAACTCGGCACCCTTCCAGTCCACATTACGCCGAGTTTGCGGGACTCTACTGTACCTCAGAATCATACTTCAAAACCTTCATTAAATTTCAGATCTTTGTTTCATCATTGGCAGTTTTCAATAATTACTGTGAATAGTGTACTTATATTTTTCTTCTGCCAGGACGTTCTTTTCCCCATTTATAGAAGCCTGCTATCCCATCCCAACAACATCTGTAAAACTCAGGCCCTAGTGCCCTATGTTGCATCATTGACAAATTCTTAGTAACTGTAAAGTTTTTAAGATCTGATGTTTTATTGGGTTGTTTAATTTCTACATTTCTAGCATATTGGAATATGGCTTAGTGCCAATTAAAATTAGGCCTATCCTAAATGTTAAAGAAATACTTAAACCCTACCTTGGGTATCTCCGAGTTGGCATCCTTGTATTTCCTCTTATACCGATGCACCTCCCCCTTGAGTTGTTGGTTGTGGTTCTGCAGCGAAGTGATCAGATGCCTCATCTCTCTGTTGATAGGTCCAGTCTGCTCGTTGGCCGCGAGATTCTGCTCAAACTCTATCCGCAGCATCTCGTACTCCTTGCGCAGTTGGGCCAACAGATCTTCCAGTTGGATCACCTCCGTACGCAGCTTCTTCTGCGCCATCAGCTCCTCGCTCTGAACAGATGTTACACTTATGTTACTCTTATGTTACACTGTTACGCTGTTATTCTTATGTTACACTGACTTCATGAAGACCGGTACCCAGAATGCATTGGAACAAAATAAATGCCTGCAAAAGCTTGGTGTGGTTATGGAAATAGGAGAAGACTGATAAATGTGAGGGCAATGTTTTGTTTTAATCAAGTACAATATAGGATCTTCACTTCAGAGTCGGCAGGAGCGCCGGCCATCTTGGATTTTCTGCCCAAAATGGCAATGTTAATGGTTGAAACATATTACAACATTGTTTATTAAAATAAAAAGATGCAAAGCATATCATTTTAAAGCTATTGAAACCGCAGATGTGATTAGTTATCTACTTTTTAATTTTAATTGTTATTATTTTCACAAACTACATAAATATATTTGACTTAAACTGTGATTTTTTCAACCTCTAAAACAACAGGTTTAAAAATCCAAAAAGCAATTCACAGAGAAAATGAATTGGATTGGCGGGGCTACCGCGACCATCTTGGTGTTAGTTCGTTAAGCAGCTCAGTCGGCATCTAGCCGTGCTAGTAAGAGGTTTCTGCTGTACTCCGTCGAGTTACTGTGACAGTTTAAAATGTCTGTGTTAATTGAAAATGCCGCGAACTGTGAAGTGCGTGCAGTTATAAGGTTTTTGACTGCAAAATCTGTAAACTGATAGAAATCTATCAGCAACTTTGTGAAGTTTATGAGGAAAACATTCTTACTGAAGGTGGAGTTCATCAGTGGGTCATCAAATTTAAAAATGGCCGAACTAACGTTCATGACGAAGAGCAAAGTGGAAGAACCAACATTGAGACTGCCGAACTTGTCGAAAAAGTCGATGCCGATGCCCGTGAGACACAAAAGTTCACAATAACGGAACTCTCTATGGGTTTTTCAGAAATTTCGCGAAGTTAGTTGCACGAGATCATGACCGAAAAGCTTGGTTACCAAACTGTAACCAAAGAGTACATTCATTTATTTTTTGCATGCACTTCACAGTTCGCGGCATTTTTAATCAACACAGACATTTAAAACTGTCACAGTAACACAACGGAAGTCAGAAACCTCTTACTAGCACGGCTAGATGCCGACTGAGCTGCATAACGAACCAACACAAAGATGGTCGCGGTAGCCCCGCCCCTACGGATACAGACAAAAACGTAATCTACTTTCTGGATAGCCCTCGTATATAGATAGTAAGGAAAAGAACACACATGTGTTGTGAACACAGAGTAGTACAGAGGAAACATTGAAAGGTACACAAAAGTGGGATCCAGCGCTAGTGCTGATGTCTAGGGCAAAGTTCAACACCGCCACTCTTGCCCTCATGTACTACTAGGCTATGCTTAAGGTGATGGAAGAACATGTGCCCTGTGCGACAGAAATTTCCGCACAGTGGTCATCGTTTGGGCTCTTCCTTACTTGTTACAAGTATATTTCCGGCACAACATACCAGAGAAGAAAGCGCATGGTCATCCCATAAGTGTGTTTCCTCTGTGCCTTACTTCTCTGTGGTTCTTGATGCGATTGGAGGTTATGTTTGAATTGTAGTGTTATTGTAAGTTAAATTAAATATAGTTTTAACAAGACAAATACTTTTTATGAGGTAGCTTTTACAATAAATACATATTATGGGTAGTTACTAAATTTGCCAAAAAGAAGTATTTGCAATGCAATTTTCTGGTTTTAAAATTTATTTTGTTCTGCATCATCTCATGTTTTGCAATATAATATTCAGTTACTAAATCATTGGAAAATTGTAATATTACATTAACTCTTAAAATGATTTCTTATCGAATTATCTTATATCAATTGTACGGGTGGTGTCTGCCTTTTTGACCACTTTTGTTGATATTTTGTCATATTTTTCAATCAGGTCATCATAGGTTCATGAGATTATTTTCATATATGTTTTCAATTATTGGAAAAGATTTTGATTATGTAATACAATAAAAAACAATACAAGTGCAGAAGGGCACGTTGCCCATATGAGCCGTGTCCATATTTTGTTAAATTAATAGTGGTTTACAGCAACTGGTATTTTTTAATATGTTTTATGAAGAAGAAATATGTGCACAGTTTGTTGATGCAGAGGGTGAGCGATCAACATGCGTGGAAGTGAAAACAGATGTACCTCAGGGCTCGATTTTGGGTCCATTATTGTTTCTTTTATCAATAAACGACTTACCAGCTAATGCATCACTTTTCTCAACAACTATGTTTGCTTAAGATACATATTTTCCTAGCATATGTGTAAATACAAATTATCTTTCTCTCATTTCTGAAAGAACGTTAACTGAGGCTAAGAATGGTTTTGTGCAAATCGTCTTGTTGTAAATGAAAATAAAACACAGCATTTAATCTGTCAAACAAAAAATAGACCTGACATTAATAATGAAACTAGTAATACAAAAATTCTTGGGATTGTCATAGATTGTAATTTGACATGGTTACCGCATATTGAATCTGTTTGTTCAAAACTATCTAGAGTTCTAAAGTTGTGTATCTACTTAAGAGTTTGAGTAAAAATATACCTTCTTGTTATTTGCGTCTTGCATATTTTGCATTTTTTCATTCAGTCTTGAGCTGGCAATATGCTGTGGGGAGGAAGTTCTCGAGTACAGGAAATTTTACTCATTCAACAAGAGGCTGTGAGGATTATTACCAAATCGGATAGGCTATCTCATTGCAAACCGCTATTTATATGCACAAATATTTTATTGTCTTGTTAATATAAAGAAAAATGAAAATAGTTGTAAGCTAAGTGAAGATGTACATAGTTATAATACCAGAAACAAAAGACTGGTTGATTTGCTGCAGTGTAGACTGCAACCAACTGTCAAAAGTCATTTTGTGTCAGAAATTAGGTTTTTTAACAATCTGCATTGTGAATCAAGATCACTTCCTTTTAAGGTTTTCAAAAAGAAATTGTCTGTCTGGCTTTCTGCAAACCCCTTTTACTGTACCAAAGAATTTTTTAAACATGGAAATATAGTTTTATAAATCATCAATTTTGCAGATTGATTAAAGTTTTTTATTGTTGTTGATTATTATTAGAATTCCATTCAGTATTATTTTTCATTGTCATCTTTTAGTTGTTACAAATTCTATCCCAGTTATCAATAGTTTACACTGTGTCTAATGTTGGTCGTTTTCATGTTTACAATTAATTTAATGCAGCCAATCTCAATCTGTGATATTAGACTATAGCTAACCGTGATATATTATGTGTATTAGTTTAAGAAGTCTGGAAAGTTGAATTTAGATCCTCAGAACTAAATTAGAATATTATAGCATGCCATGTTGTCTATTGTCAACTACAATGTAGCCAAAATTAGAATGTAGTTATTTTTTGACGAAATCAATCACAATATTGTGTTGTTTAAATATGGAATAAATGACTATTCATTGACTATTCATGATTTAGAAAGTCATTAATCTGCAAAATTGAAATTTATTGCAGACTTTTTAGAGATTTTACTTTGATGTATTCATTCAGCTTAGTAAAAACACAATAGAGCCTTTGAATCTAGACTTATTTAATACGCAAGCAGGTTTTTTGTGACAATTACTCCTCCGAAACTACTGAACCGATTGACATGTTTTTGGTGTAATTGGAAAGAGCGTAACGTGAAGTTGTGCAGGAAACTTTTTTTTTTGGGAAATAATTAGAGAGTGAGGCCTGGGTGCCCTTTAAAGTATTGTATTTCTCCATAAGATTAACATGGGAAACAAACATTGTTATGAAACTCCAGCTGCTGTCAAGAAATGCTGTTCTGCTATTTAATTTAATTTCTTTACAAGGAGAATTGTTTGTTTCTTGGTGCCAAGTGGCCAATGAGCAATACTTTTGCATATATTTTAAATGCTATACAATATATAAAATGATAGTACTGTAATACATTAAGAGATCTTAATTTAAATAATCAATAAGCAGGATTGAGCCTTTACCTATGTTTCCTGGTAAGTGTGTTGTAACTGTTTCTCATAGTATATTATAGTATCTTAAAGTAAAACCAAATTTTCTTTTCTGCATTCTCACCCCGTAGCGAAGCACGGGCAGAGCAACTAGTGTTATTAAACCAACGAAAAGGGTTGTTTATGTTTACTAGCGCTACTCAACAACAAAACCATTTAATTTATCTCTATAAGAAATTTCTCAAAGTGCAAAGGTCCACATAGTAACACAAAAAAAATGCATAAACTCGATACTACAAAAAAGTTCAGGCCAGAACCATTTAATGCGCTTGGATTTTGACATTTATTAATTCGGCTTATATTTCTCTTAACCAACGGATTATTCATCTGCAGAAGAAGTTCATTGTGCTCTAATCGTGTCTAATAACATCCAAACACAGAAACCTTTCCTAAAATAGTACCTATATCTTGACAGATGTTTTGCATTTGCAGTGCCTATCCGTGCCCACTATCAGTGACCATGGCCCACTTGATTGGCCTTAAGTGAGATTTGTGAAAATAACACTACACTTCGACTTTAAAACAAATTTCAAAGAGTAATTACCATTTAAGCAGAACATTCATGACAGAAAGGTCATGTTCCTTTTGAACTAGATATCCTCATCCTTTCTAAGATACATTGATTAACAAATGCATGTAAACGTCACTATTTACATAACAATTTACAGTATTTGTTTTTTGGAAATGCAGCATTGCTTTGTCATTTGCATTATTTGTTGCCAATGAAGCAGCATGACCATTATGAACGAGGTCCCTCATTTCAAGAATAAAAGCCAGCTTCACTACAAGTATATTCCACTACACCTAACATTCCACACATTATGTAATTGATAAGGCTCAGACAAATGACATCTGCATTTCATGGAATCAATGTTATGCTAAAAAAAATATTGTTGCTAAATTTAGAGGGTTATTCACTGACACTGAAGTACAGTATAATGACCGTCGTGACGAAGGAAAAATAAAACTTACACAGCATTAGGGTGGGCCTCCCTTTGAAGTAA